TGGAGCTAAGCAGCCACCAGGAGAAAGAGTCGGCAAAACGGCTCAGTTCGAATTGGATCTGACCGAGAAGGAGGCTCAGCAGAAGCACCTCACTGAGGACTACCAGCATAGGCTTTCCAAGCAGAGGAAAGACCTGCGGGAGTGCAAGGCCAGGTTACCGGCGCCTGGAGGCTCAGCGGGCTGAGATGGTCAGCCAGTTCCAGACCATGATGCAGTCCCACTGGAACAAGGCCCTCCGGCTCTTCCCCACCAGTGGTGCTTCCCTCCAACCTTCGCCCAAAGCCCCCCACCAGGAGGCCGAAGCAGACCCCAAGTCGGAATTTCTGCCCCCCTCCGGCCCCCACAAAAAGACCCCGAAGGGGGAGACTCTCTGCAGCAACACAAGCGTTCATTGCACGTATCCGTCCCAGGGGCCGAAGTTTGAGGACCCCTGACTTAGTGCAATATTAAAAAATGTAAATAATTTTTCTGCAAACCACCAACATTTTCTCACGGACCCCCAGTGGTCCACAGAGCCCCATTTGGTCTCCACCCTGATCTAAGGAGTTTAAATTGCCGAATTAGGAATGAAGGAAATGTAATGCAAGCAGCCCTGGACTTACAGCGTTTTGTTTAGTGACTGTCCATAATTACGACGGCACTGAAAAAAATGACTTACGCTTGTTTACGACCTTTGCAGCGTCCCGGGGGTCTCCTGATCAAAAGTCAGCTGCTTGGCAACCGGTTCATAATTATGACTGCTACTTTTATCCCAAGTTCAGGCTATGAATCCCCTTTTGTCACCTTCTGACAAGCAAAGTCAACGGGGAAGCCAGATTCACTGAGCAACCGGGTTGGCTCACTTAACAACGGCTGTGATTCGCTTAACAACTGTGGCAAGGGAAAAAATTGTAAAACGGGACAACACTCACTTCACAAATTGCACCCTTAGCCACAGAAGTTCTGGGTTCAATGGTGGTTGTAAGTGGAGGGCTACCTGTAGGAATTTGTATTACGGTCACAGACCAACATTAGAAATAAAAGGTGGGTGGGTGGGTGGGTGTATACACACAAGAAAAGAGAAAGAAAGGAAAGAAAGAGAAAGAAAGAAAGAAATGAATGAATGAATGAATGAATGAATGAGATTGGAGGAGAGGAGTGAAAAGGATGGAAAAGGAAAAGGAAGGAAGAGGAAGGAAGGAAGAAAAAAGAGAAAAGAAAGAGAAAGAAAATCAGATGGGAGGAAGGGAGGAGAGGAGCGACAAGGATGGAAAAGGAAGGGAGGGAAGGGAGGAAAGAAGGAAGAAAGGAAAACAGGAGGCAAAGAAGAGGAGGAAAGAAAGAACTTTATCGTCACTTTTTTCTGTGAAAACACTGGCACACATTAAAACCTAAAGTTGCTTTTTTCAGTGCTGTTGTAACTTCAAATGGTCACTAAAGGGATCATTGTAAGTCGAGGACCAGCTGCAACAGAAGCTGACTGAAGGGATAGGCTCCAGCTTCTCTGCCTCAAATACCCCCCTCCCCCCATTAATTAGTTTTGCAAGTGGCCTAAAATTGGGACAGTCCAGAGGTGACCTTAAAGAAGGAAACTTGTCTCATCTCTGATCCTCGAGCGAATTGGGGTAACCAAACCTCAATACTCACAATTGCTTCTTGGTTCTCATCCTGTCTTCTCTTCCACATCCTTTGACCCCCCCTCCCCCAACTCTGCAGTCAAAGAGAAGTTGCGGCTGGACCCAGAGAGCGAGATTGCCACCACTGGCGTTCGAGTATCTTTAATATGCCCGGTAAGCATTGTGCTGCAAGGCAGAACTTCAACAAAAGGCACTTCTGAGCAGAGGTGCTAAACGGCACATCTACTAGCCAACAATCATAAGTGGCTGGTGGGTGAGAACCTAGTTTGCTGGGTGTCAAATGCACCCGTGAAACGTTGAGCCTCTGAATCCAGTCTCTGAGTTTCTTAACCACTTTTTAAACTTTTGCTCCAACTTACTGTCTGGAGGACCAAGTATTTCTTTTGCCGCCTTGTGAAAGCAAATTCATCCATCCATCCATCCAACCAACCAACTATCCCTCCCTCTCATCAATCAACTCTCCATCTATCCAACCTTCCATCCAGTTATCCATCCAATAAACCAATAAACCAACCAACTCTCCACCCATCCACCCACCCACTCATCCATCCAACCAATCCTTCATCCAACCCCCTCCCTCTCTCCCACCAACCAGCCACCCATCCCTCTCTCCCTCCCTCCTCCTCTCCCTCCCTCCCATCAACTCTCCACCTGTCCATCCAATCAACTCACCATCCTTCCCTCTAACCAACCAACTCTCCATCCATCCATCATCCATCCAATCAATCATCCATCCAATCAACCATCCATCCTTCCCATCCATTCATGCAATCAATCATCCATCCATCCATTCATGCAATCAATCATCCATCCAATCAATCATCCATCCATTCATCCATCCATCCATTCAACCATCCATCCAATCAAAATCATCCATCCATCCATCCATCCTTCCTCCAATCAATCAACCATCCATCCATCCAATCATCCAATCCATCCATCCATGCATCCATCTAATCAACCATCCATCCATCTAATCAACCATCCATCCAACCAATCAGCCAACCAACCATCTCTCCATCCATCCAACCCTCCCTCCAGCCAATTAACTCTCCCTCCCTCCAACTCACCCACCTACCCACCAACCAACAGAATGGCTTGCCTCCAGAAGTTCTGGGTGTTTCCTCAGTGGACCGCCATTTGTGTGGAACGATATAGGGTCTCTTGCTTGAGCAGGGGGTTGGACTAGAAGACCTCCAAGGTCCAACTCTGTTATTCTGTATTTGACCAGGATCTCTACTAGAGTCATGTTTTTGCCTGTGGGTCTCATGCGGTTTTTTCCCCCCTCTCTTCCGAAGCTGGTGAAGATGCGCCTGTCGGTACCGTGTCGGGCAGAAACCTGTGCCCACCTGCAGTGCTTCGACGCGGTTTTCTACCTGCAGATGAACGAGAAGAAACCCACGTGGATGTGTCCGGTGTGTGACAAACCAGCCACCTATGATCAACTGATGATCGATGGGTTAGTTGAGTCAGTTACTTGCCAACATTACAGGAGTCCCAGGAGGGCCAAGAAATTTGCGGGGGGTCCTTGATGCTCTCTGAGCTTAGTTGTTTTCTTGCAGATGTTTCATGACCCAACTAGGTAACATCATCAGTGCTGGAAGGGAGTGGGGTTTGCTCTTTGTTACATACAAGTGGCTGGCCCTGTCACTCTTGGTGGGGGTGTTATTATTGGGTAGTTCCACGATTAAACTGAGGTTTGCTGTTTGTTTGTCTGCGTTGGTAGTTCCTTGATGGGCGTATTGTTTACCAGGAACTGATAACTACCAACTTGAACATAAACCAAACTACAAAGGTGACCTACAGCAGCCCAGGAACCATTAAGACCACTCCCACCAACATGGACACAGCAAGCCAGGGGTCTTCCCAACCCATTTCAGGGGTACCTCATTTGTGAGGTCTTTATAAATGGCCTAACAGTTGTTCCCAATCCTTCCCCGCTATTTTCACCCCTCCCCCCCAAAAAGACACCTAGAACGGGGGGCCGTGCAAGTAACGGGTGAGCAAATGAGAGACGGGTTCCTACCAGTTTGAACCGGTTCGGCCGAATAGGTAGTGACTTGGCCTGCCCACACCCCCGAGCCAGTTCTGTCAGTGGCGCCATAGATGCTGCCCTCTTGTTTTTGGCTTCTGCGCGTGTGCAGAAGCATTTTATTTTTTAAGTTCTGAGCATGCGCGCATGCATGCTAAACACGTCCCTGAGGGAACCGGCAGTAGCAGCAGCTAGAACCCACCCCTGGAGCGAATGAAGGCCCCTCTGCACATGCACAGGAGCTACCGTGTTTCCCCGAAAATATGACTTGCTCATAAAGTAAGTCCTAGCTTGATTTTTTTACATATGCGCCCAATATAAGCCCTCATTGACCCCATCCATTCCAGGGTGCACAGCACTGCTAGGAGCAGCGGCCGCCGTACCGGAACGGTGTCTCTTTGGGCCTGCCCGCGTTCCTTACCTCTTTTTGAGGGAAACGGGCCAATTGTGCATGTGTGCACAGGGTACGGCGCCTGAGCGACCCCACTGAGTAGCTGGGGTGTCACTGGGCGGTGGCAGGCACAGCGCGCGTGCCCAAAGGGGGACACCCGGCCCCGTTGCAGTGTACTGGTTGCCACGGGATCCGGAAACCACCACTGGTGCACGGGTAAAAATTAAGATAGGATAGGGGCTGGGGGCGTGGAGCTGCCCTGCTACACCTTCGGAGAGTTGCAGGCGGGTCTCGCGCACCTCGGCCCATTTCTTTCGCTGCAGCCCGCAAGGCTTTCCTGAGGGCCTCTTGTAGCCGATAACGGAGCACCGGATCGATCTGTAGCTCTGTTATCGGCTGCAGGGGCCTCCAGGAAATCCTTGCCAGCTGCAGAAGAAGAAATTCCCGAAGGCCTCAGCGAAAAAGAGGATTGGGGCGGGGGGGGGGGTGACGTGCGCAAGTGAGGTGAGTCAGAGGACTGTCAGGTTTCCAGGTAACACCCCTAATATGTTTAGGCTTAATGTAATGTGCTGGTCTGACATGGACGGACCCCTTGGCACAGGCTGGTGAAAACCGACTCTAAAAGGTTCCCGCGGTTTTCACCTAATTAAAAGTAAAAGTTGTTCCTCCTTTTCTAAATAATCACATTGTCCAATCTAAGTGCTGTCCAGTTGCTTGGAAACTTTACTCCTCATCTGCCACCTGTGGGAACGTCCTTGGTTCTCAGGGGAAACTATTTTGTTTTGGCTACGAAACCCTATCTATCTCTCTTCCCCCCCCCCCCCCTTATCCCTCAGCACCATTGTGGTGACACGGGGGCCTCGAAGATGGCTTCAGTCAGGCCAGCTTCAGAGGTGACAGCATGCACAATACCATTCCCCTTCCTCCCATCCATGGAAGAGTATTTTTCTTCCGAAACTGATCCCGGGATCCAAAAAGGTTTGGGACCCTCTGCTCTAGAGAATCACCACATCTCTCACAACTTTGGTGATCGGTCCTTGGCGTTTCCCAAGATCTTTTCTTATGCAAGAAATCAAAATTGTAATGGTTGATTAAAATTTAAGTTGGCTCCTGGTTTTCGTTGGAGCAGCAGACGGATGCTCTGTTATCTGGTGAGCCTTGGGTTGGTGATCTCCCAGCCCGAAACCATTTCCTGAAACCCCTCTGAGATGGAAGCCATTCCTTGGAAGATAGAACATGGCCCTTGTGATGACCTGGGGCATGGCAGGAAAGCAACAGTGTCAGGGTTTCAAATAGTATCCAAAACTAAACCAGAGTCCGAGGCAAAGTATTGCTCAAAGTTCCCATTTATTAAGAGAGTCATGTTGGCACACCTGGGAAAACCCAAATCTGAAAGCTTCCGGGTTTTCCCCACCCAGTTGAAAGTTCAAGATCTTTCCCCCACACCCACAAGTCCATCACATGGTCCAATCTTCCACTGCCATGCTGGCAGGTCCACCCATCCAATTCCGGTCAGGTGCAGAGGTGCAGAGACAAAGGATGACCTTGGCTTTCTAGAAAGAATGTTGTTATGGCTATATAGCATCTAGCTCCATACAATCCCCCCCTACCCATTTCCCCACAATAGAAAAA